TAAGTTTCATGCATGTTTGGTATGTGTGAAGTAGGCTTCGAGCCAATCACCACGTTGGGCGCCAATGACGTAGGCTTCTCCCCCTGGCCCCCGCCACACAACAACGCAAACTCTTGATTGTATCTTCAATACTTATATTATACTGTCTGACTCCGAGTCACTTACATGTAGTGCAGTGCAGATCAGGAGTGGCCAATCGCCAAGATTTGAAAAGAGAAATAAATTAATGGTATGCGGCTGCAGCCACAATACGCTATAATAATTTGATATACAGTACTGTCGGTCGCCGAAGAACTGGGGGGGGGGGGGGGGTCAGCCTCCTGGCCTAGACCATTCTTATTTTCACAGTCTATGCACAGTTGAGCCTCTATTACAGTACAGTATGCTGTGCTTGGTGAAATTGTCGTTCTTCGGCGCCCCACAGTACTGTAATCATATACATACACGCAAAGCGTCTAATTATTGTTCTGGCAGGTGAAAACTCGGTCTTGCAAAGTTTCAGCAGCTGCTGTAACTAACACTTTGTTCCTTTGCTGCTGTAACTTACTTTGTAAACTTGAAGACCAAGCTAGTTTTTCGCATCACTCTTGATCTTGGTCATGGCGTGCATGCACTCAATGACTATTACTAGTACAAAAGTCACGTAGCATTGTAGCCAATGTCAATGACTATGTACATGTAGATCGACTGTAGACTGTATACAGTGTAGATCATGTCTACGGTTGGTGCATAATAAATTTATATTTATTTTAATTATGGACATAGTCATTGTACTGTCCCCGGGGAAAATTGCAATTCCGCGGCCGCGTTTTTTCCCCGCGTTTTTTGCGATTTTTTAAAAGACCGCGTTTTCCGCGATTTTCCCGCGTTTTTTGAACTTTTTTGTTACACTACACGTACACACAGTGCACTGTTCAGTCAGCAACGTCTCATCGTGGCGGCTTTTTACTCAAATATGACAAGTGCTTACACCAGAGACTTGTAACTGATTGATTTCTTTACATACTCACTGAAAATTGCCGCACATCAATATTATTCACCGCATATTTACCGCAAATTCACCGCAAATTATGCCATATTATGCCGCGTTTTTCCCCGCGTTTTTTGCGATTTTTTTCCGCAATTTTCCCCGGGGACAGATTGTACTTTGTAGATCTACGTCACGTACGTGGTGCGATGACGCCGATGACTGGCGATGACTCCGATGAGTCTCCCGATCGATAATAGAGGAACATGAATCATGCATCATGGACAGTTGCACTGCACGTAGTCGTTTCTGCATGATTGCATGATTGTGTAGCCCTACGCGCGCTGCAGGGTGTACAACTGATCATGTACATGACTTACATGGATTTGGTCGGCCATCAGACAACGCAACACAACCAACCACTGAACCAGGCTAGTTCAGCGCGCGCCCAGGAAGCTGAACAACGACGTAACTGATGTTAGTCGAGAGCTAGAGAGAGACAGAGAGACCACAGCCTCACACACACACACACACACACACTGTCAGTGCAGTGACACAGGTCCATACGAGCGAGAGCTAGCTAGGCAGCTAGAGCTACTTGTACTGTTGTAGAGCTGTACGCTGTAATCTACCTCATAATAGTCATACTAATTATCTAGCTCATGCAGGCTACGCATACCTAGTACCTACACGTACACGTATGTCCCGAACAGCATCGACGCACCACCGGTCCCGCAGTTCAAGTGTTCTAACTAACTACAGTCGTCCCTCTCTAATCCAGCACCCTCGATAAACCAGCACAATTTTCAGTAGCCAAAATGTCCTCTTCACACATTGCAGCAGTAAATCAGATTTGTTAATCCAGCACCCTCCCTAATCCAGCAGGTTTCCGTGGCACAAATGGTGCCGGATTATAGAGGGACCACTGTATTACTAGTACTAATATTAGTAATACTTCTACTTAGTTCTACAGGGTTTTTACTTAGGCGGCGAGTGTCCATGTAATGGTGTCCGCCGAGTGAGCGTGGTTTGTGTGTAAATAATTTAGAAAAGCGATCCTGTCAGCTTTTCTATTATTGTGTTCACATGGCAAGAAAAACGACACCGCTATGCTACGTAAGTTTCTACGTAAGGTGCTCGGTATTTCACTTAGGCTACGTAAGTCTCTACGTAAGGTGCTCGGTATTAGATCTACCAACGCGTGGTAGCCGCGTGCTGTGCACGTGCACGGCAGACATTGTGTTGCAGTGCAGTCCGCGATCCGTGTTCGGATGTCCATGCGCGAGGAACTTCCTTCTTTGGAACTGCTTCTTGTATGAGCTGTTTCGGATATTTCGTCTCCTGGCCTGGCTTATTTCGTTTCGGCGCTGCTGAGATCTCCTTTCGCGGAATATTCCTCAATGACAGGTGAGTTGACCAGTTCCCTTTGATTCATTTGCTTGTGTTGACTCTTTCTTTTACGAAAAGTGTGCTGATTGTGGGCGGAATGCAATAAATAATGGAAAAGCTAACAGGATCTCTTTTCTAAATTTAGCTTTTCCGCTGCCGAGGCCTCCTTTTACGGAATACTCGATGACAGGTGATCTCTGAGTTGACCGGTTTCCTTCGATTCATTTGCTTATGCTCACCCTTTCATTTACTGAAACGTGTGCTGATTTTATTCGGATTTAGATCCATTTTATCTCTTTGCCCTTGTCTACAGTGTGCGAAGAACGCGAGTTCACCTTCTTGACGGTAAGACATAATGTTAGATGTGTTGTCGAAATACTCATATTCATTGTACATTGGTACGTTACAAGTAAGGCATTGGTCAGTGGCATACTATCGGTGGCAGTTCCCAATCTGGAGGGAAAGGTTCAAGGACCCATTGACCGAGTTTGCAAAATAAATTCGCATATCAGGGAAAATCTCCATTGTGGAGAGGTTCAGTAAACTTGTTTGCTTCATACGAAACAAGCCAATGGGTGCAGTCTCGTCTCGTGAAGATCTAGTACTTGTATGATTGGATTTGTTTACTCGAGTCTGGGCTGTTTGATTTATTATTTGTGAGTACCGCCGAGATTGCACTGCCCCATATAAAGTTTCGTGCAGCCAAAGCCAGAATTACGATCTGCAATCTGTTTGTAGTACCTGCAAGAATGTGCTGTACATGTATCGTACTTTCTCTGTTGCTGTTTCAGTTGCCGTCATGTTGCTAAAGAAAGGTTCAGTAGAGCGGTTCTGCAAAACGAAAATTCGAACGAAGTTTCGCGACAGTCCTTGCGAAAGTGTGTACGAATTTTTGCACGAACTTTGCGTTCTGCACATTTTCGTAGTTTTCGCGGGCCAAGTGCACGTACGTCATGACCCGATCTCACGAAATTTCCTACGACAGTTCATTTCGCGTCCCCTGCAAGTTTCGCGTCCAAAGTTGCGAAAGTTCGTGCGAAGTTCCGCACTTCATGATGTAGAGCGAAAGTTTGTACGCATTTTCGTTTTGCAGAACCTCTCTAGTGACTCATTTGTTTCATACGAGACGAGTCAATGAGTTGGTGTGGCTTAGAATCTTTTGCTGTAGAAGAAATCTATTCGTATGTCTGTTGGAGAAATAATTGTATTCACTGGTTATAAAATAGGTTAAGACAAACTCACAGAATAAATACCATCGGTCCCTTGGTGTTCGTCCTAAAGAGGTTCGACTAGATATCATTCATACTCACCAAAAGATGTGTAAGATTTTATTATTATGGAGTGCCTTGTTTATCTCTCAGTACCTCCAACCATAGCCTTGCCCCTTTTATCCTCAGGATCAGTGTAGTTGTTGGAACGAGGTGTCCGACTCAGCAATGTATTTGTTTACTTGCATTTTAATACATGTTTATTGTTCCTCCTTTGCTTTGTTGTTTTAGAAAATCGTGGACTAACAGTTTGAAGTCATTGAACTACTTCCAAAAGTTGTATCGACATCAACAGGATTTCAGTGCAATATGATGCAGGATGACCTTATCACGAAAACCCATGATTATAAACCATTATAAACACAGAATCAACAAAAACATCTGCGACACGCACCTGGTTACATTTCTCAATTAAATATGATCGAGGGTGGGGAAATCTGAAATATCTGAAAGGCAAGACAATTTTATGACAGAGTCATGAAATTCTGCTACAGCAATATGCACAGAATGACCTCCGTATAAATCACCACGGTCCACCACTACTCACATGTTTCCCCGCAGAAGAAGATGCTAGTGCCATTTTCTGCAAGAAAAGGCTTGCACATCAATGCGGATAATACGGTATTGATATGATGTGAAGACCATCATTTACATATTGATATAGTCGCGCGCCCAAGAACGTTGTTTCCAAGGGGTTAGACTGGGACGTTCTTATTTTGTCAGCAATCTTAGAAACAATTCGTCCTGGATGATATGTATCCCATAAGCCGCCAGAAAACCAACACCGCCGTTCTTAGATTTAGGCTGAGACATTCTTAGAATTTCAAGCTGGACGTTCTTGGGCTCCACGTTCTAACTTCTTCGGCGCGCGACTCTACTGTAGGGCATTCCATTGATTGGTGACAGAAAAAAACAAAAGAAATTATAGCAATAAAAACTGCTTTATGGCAGTTTTCTAAAAAAAGTTATTGTGTTCTAGTCCATGGACGTGGACCCCGTCTAAAAAGTAAGAAATTAACGAAATGTGATAGCCGAAAATTAAAATTTCACACAAAACCTCACAATAATCACACACAGAATGAAAAGCTACATGTAGAAGACCTTTTCCCCTCGTGATCCTCTTTCCTATGCATGCATGACATGCATGTTGCCAATTGTTGGTGCAGTACAAGTTTAGTGTTGAAAGCAGCATTTCAAGTGTTGTGATTATTGTGAGGTTTTGTGTGAAATTTTAATTTTCGGCTATCACATTTCGTTAATTTCTTACTTTTTAGACGGGGTCCACGTCCATGGACTAGAACACAATAACTTTTTTTAGAAAACTGCCATAAAGCAGTTTTTATTGCTATAATATTAATTGTTGTCACTTATTCCGAGCTTTTACACCCGCCGACGCGACCCGGTTGATCGGTCCCGCTGTACTGTGCCCGCGCGCCAGTCTGCGCAGCCTCGATCGTGTGCGCCGTCGCGTCTGATCTGAGCATATCGCAGCGTTAGCCGCTATTGAAAGTGACCACGGATACGAGGAGAATGCAATCGCGTATCGGTAGCCCAGCGTGAATGCAGTTGCCGAACAAAGGAAGATCCAGAGGAAGTCTGGTGGAGTACGGTCGGTAGCTGTCGCTACTACGGCACGCTTGAGCTAGCTAGAGCTTGCGAGCTTGTCAGCTTGGTGACCGTGCACATGCACCAGCGAAACACGGTTTTGATTAGCAGCTGCATGCAAAAGTTCAAAAATTCGCTGTTCCCAAAATCGAGAAGGAGTTTTTTTTATTGATAGCCTTGAGTTTGTCTGGGCGAGACGTCCTGTGGAGAGTAGGCTGCCTTGTTGAGTGACCAGCCGGCGCATCGGCAGCCATGCCTCAGGAACAGCCTGCGAACAGAGGAGAACTTGCTATTCAAAAGGTTAGCTCCGGCTTATTGTGATTTAGAGTTTAGTGATTGAGTTATTATCGTTGATTTTAGGAACAATTTATTGTCTCGATTGTGCAGTTCCATTGATTCTATCTGGGAAAATAGAACTGGCAACGTGTGGGGAGAGTAGGGTACCGGTATTGAGCTTGCAGAAACTCTGGGTTAAAAATTCGTGCAATTATGTCCTAGATTTTCTGCGCTGTTGTTGCGAGTATTGTTTTGTGATCGTGAGAACTTCAAGAAGAAAAGCAGCTTTCAAAGTTCAAACAATTCACAAAGTCTAAGTGCGTCTGCAAATTCTAATCGCATTGCCTTCTGGCTCCAGGTCTGGTTAGGTTCTTGCCCAGCAAGATACTAATACGGTATGCTGTCTATTATACAGATGTAGCCTAATTCCTCGATCTTGCTGTAGCTTACAGACAAAGGCATGATTTGAATTCATTTAAATTGATTTGAACGCCCTTGTGCCTTTTGTGTTTGAATTGATTTAAATTGTTTAATAGCACTCTCAGCAATAAGTAAGCTTGCAGCGTCCATAGCCTCTAACTGGTCTGGTTTGCTCTATGGGAAAACCGCTCCATACGCACTCTATGAACGCAATTTAGAAAGCAATTCCTCCCATGCATAGTTTTCACGTGATCTTCCGTGGAGCAAAACTAGCCTGTTCAGTGTTGCTATGTAGGATTGTCTTGTATCGTAGTCGCCAGAAAGATTGGTGCAATGCCCAAACCGATCAATGTGGGCTACCAAAACGGTGTGGCCTGCCCTGGTCAGCCAACTCCCAAACGTTCTGTTACTTTGGGTATCCTGATGAGGATCCGGTCAGATTTGGCGTACATTATAATGACCTGTATACTTACAAAGAGAAACCGGGTTGAATGACATCTTCTGCACCAGCCGGCCGCCATCATGCCTTGGGTCATTTCGTGTGTATCCCAGTCCGCAACATTGGCGCATTATCGGGTGTCTGCTTTTGTTGTGTTCTTTTTTTCTTCCTCTACTTCTCTCTCTCTCCCTTTCTCTCCCTTTCTCTCTCTCTCTCTCTCTCTCTCTCTCTCTCTCTCTCTCTCTCTCTCTCTTACTTTTCTCTCTCTCTCTCTCTCTCTCTCTCTCTCTCTCTCTCTCTCTCTCTCTCTCTCTCTCTCTCTCTCTCTCTTACTTTTCTCTCTCTCTCTCTCTCTCTCTCTCTCTCTCTCTCTCTCTCTCTCTCTCTCTCTCTCTCTCTCTCTCTCTCTCTCTCTCTCTCTTCTTGCAATGCCCACAGCTATTGGATGAGAATGCCCAATTGATAAGGGTAAGCTCGAGCCAACTGTCATCCAGTATAGCTGTGTTCTTTGAACTCTGTCAGTGCTGTTATTAACATGCTGCACTCTGTATGTGGAGTGATTCAGATTTATCCTACCATGCACCATCTGACATACCCATCTCTCTTAAGTGGCAGCCTGGCTTCATCAGGATTTCGGACATTTTTCTCGGGCCAAAGTTTTAGCACTCGTTCTCCAGAGGAGTGATTGTGTTGTACCAACTGTTGTTGATCATACCACTGAGGTTTGCAACACTGGCTTGGACTTCACAATCGGTACTTCGTTTCCGCTGTTTTATTTCTTCTGCTCAGGCCATTGTTGATCAACAAGCTCGTGGACAGGCTAATGAATGCATAGCGTAAGTGCTCACCGCATCTCACTGTGACTGTGTTGTCCCCCATACTGACACTTGGCGACGTGAGTGAATATTGTTTGTATATGCCCGGGCATTGTTATTATCATTTTTCGTGATTAATTGTCAAGAAAAGTGACCTTGGGCCACTGTTCTCCTTTTCTGCATTACAACAGATATCAGAAGATCTTGCATCGCAATCTGATTCACCTGGCTGCTGTTGCAGATAAAGTCAACCCAGTCATACCAGCGGTGAGTTTTGCCGGGTGCACGGGAAATTCATTTTACTACGTGTCCCCGTCTGTGCGCTTGCAGCGTGATGATGTGCTGGTGGACTGGATGCCTGGTCTTCCGGGGTGAATAGCGTGGTCAAAGTTGTTACTCGGCGGCCCAGAGTGTGCTGGCTGCGAGCGTTTTGTACTGCCATTGCACTATCTCTCGCTGGTGTATGTTGTGTTGAACTGTATCCTTCCTACTGCTTCTTTTCACGATAACAGTGTAGGCAAGGCTTGCATACTGTAAAACGGGAAAGTTTAACGACCAAAACATATAACTTTTTTGTAATTTTGGCATGATAACGTGCAGAAAGTTTAACGATGGCTACCTGGCCACCCATCTGTGGTATGCGCATCAGTCATCTTTACACAAACGTGTCGCAATAACCTTTCTTCAAATAACGGAAAAATTGGTCGTTAAAACGTTAGACTTTGTGACTCGTTAGACTTTCCGGTTTTACAGTATGCCATCCTCCGAATGGTCTTTATCCGAGGAGGCTGCGGTCCATGGTTCGTCAGATACTTGTATGCCCAATCAAACATGTGCGAATTTGAGCGCGCAGTCATCTGGATCCAGGTGATGACTTCACAGTGTGCAGCCAGGCAGCCATACCATCTATTTGTGTACAAAATGGCCATTGTTCGGAACGCGTTCGATTGAGGAACCGTTTGTCGCAGCTTCTTCGGACCAAGACCTTTCGACTCAGTGTTACAAACACTACATACCAGGGATCGATTTACTTTGATTTTTTGCATAGCAGTCACTGCTACACAGTTTTACAATTGACTAGCAACTCCCAGTATTGATTAGCAGTTTTCCTTCATCAAAAGTTTACATGTATAGCTTGTACAATAGCAGGATTTCGTACAGAAGAGGACAATAGCTGCAGTTGCTATTTGCTTTTCCAAGCGAATGTTCGACCTGAATATTTACGTTAGAGTTTTCGCTTGGGCACGTTACATGTTCAGCGTCCATCCGTCTTCGAGTTCTTCACAACTCAATGTCTTTCAACAGGGCAGTTCCACTGATTCCTTCGACAAAGAAACCTCAGGAAAGCGCTCAAACGATCGTGACATTTCGTGCAAAGCGTATCGAATTTCGCTTTTCTCCTTTTCTTCATCGAAACGAATCGACATTCCTGGCGCGTCCAGTTCTTTGTCCCTCTTCTGGACAGTGAATCACGGATCAGATTCACTGACATGTTGGCTACATGAGACTAAGAACCATCGACTTCAACTGTGCCTTGTCGAACAGAAACAAACTGAGCTTGACAGTGAAAGGAGAACATCAGGAAAAGTCACCGCCGTGTACAAAACTTCAGAAGACTGCAGTCATGTACGACCAGTGCTAGTGCAGTGTCCAAAATCGAAAGAGCACGATCCGCGAGTCCGCGACCCGCGCGGTCTGAGCAGGACAGGCCAGTTGGTTGGAGTAGTAAAATACTACTCCCTAGCCAGCAGTGTGTACAACAGTCGCATGATGTAGTCTGGTCTTTGTAGTGCATCGCAGTTTTGGGCGATAAAAAACGAAAAGCTAATCGCAGCCAGTGAATTTTGATTCGCAAACTGCGATGCGAACCCGGATAAATCGATCCCTGCATACCCTGTGATTTTCAGCTTGGCATATCTTGAGGTTATCCCGCCTTTTAGCCGTTTCCGAGTTGGGCTATTTCCGTCCGCGCTGGCCTCTCTGCGTGCATGCTAGCTGTAGTCAACAAACTCATCACACACGAAACATGACTGCTCCCGCACTGCCGTGCTACGTTAGTCGTGTGGTAGATCTACAAGATTCGAGTCAACAAACTAGTCAAGACCCGGACTTGTCATGTATACTACACGTATCAGTCGTATGCACAGTCATGTAGTCAGGAAGGTGCGTTTCTCCTTGCTGGTGGTTGTGCTTTGAGACAGATTTTTTTTAGTTTTCCGCATGGAATAGTACAGCCTCATTTTTGCTACAACGATGAGTCCACAGCCGTAACAAGTGACAAAACAACAAACAGCTCCCGGACCTAAAATTTCAGATCCCGTAGTGTTGTGAGCCTTGAATCGAAGAGCTGTGCTGTGGTTCAAAGAGCCTGCACTGCACTCCAGTCAAGCAGCATCCGAAATATGCCAAGTTCGCACCTAATAGCCACTGGAGTCCAAGCGTGTTGGTATCGAACAACATTTAGAGCACTCGCATCACTCTTCTCCGTTTTGAGGACTCTGCTCTCCGGAGATCTGATAATTATATCAGCTTTGTCTGCAATAGCCGCTGCTTCTTCATCAGTCGCAAAGGCGGCAGCGCTCACTTTTGACCGGCCTGCGCAGCCATTTCTTCAGCAGAACACCGACGTTCTCAGCCCCAGACCGAACTCATGAAGGTCAGCCATGGCTGCATCCTCACTCTCACATGGAGTTACGTCTTGGGGGTCGCTTGCACCACTTACTATCGGTAGCCAAATCATTTGAAATAGCATTGACCCTATTGCTTTCACTCACTTCTTTTGACCTACTGGCAGTAGCTGCACGCTATGACGTTGCAGAGGGTGTGGTGCGGCCGCATGACGTCATGGCGCAGCCCCTGAAATTCAGTTTTTTCAAATGGAAATATCTCAAAGAGCGCTTTGTCGGAGACACATGGGACCAACACCATTCGAATCAGCGGGATTCAGCGCTCCAAACTCTACGGACCCTGAAATTCAAATTTTTCACCGGACTACCCCTTTAATAAAAAAAGAAGTTCTTAATGGCTATCCTCCACTGTTTGCTGTTGTAAGTCGTACGTGTAAGTTAAATGTAGCAGTTTGAGTTCTGAATGGATGGATGTGGTGTGCGTGTGTCAATGCAGAAAGTTTCACTGCCAAGCCAAGTTTCATCATCTTCATCTGTCAATGGTTCCACTACAACGCTGGCGACATCCACAGCGGCAGCTGAAGCAAAGCTGGTGGGAGCGGCAGGAGTAGCAACTGCAGCAGCAGCAGCAGCAACTCCAGCCGTAGTGTCAGCCAGTACTGCTGGTCAATCGTCCACCTCATCACCACCTGTGGACATGACAGGGGCATCGGCTGCGGCTGCTCGTCACGTCCAGTCGGCTGCGACACCGGCTGCTGCCACTGGCGACACAACCAGTAGCTCTCCTGCTCTTCCTGTCAACAGCCCAGCTACCAATGTTGGTGTGCTTTCGCCCCTGTCACAGGATGCGTCAACGCGACAGGGTGGAAGTTCTCAGGCACACAGTGCAGCACCCACTCCTGGCGGCCAGCATGGTGGTGCTGCTGGTGCTGCTGGTGCTGCTGGTGTTGGCAGCAATGTCGCAGGTGGCATGCAACAAACAGCATCCCTTAGTACTTCGCAGGTCAACTACCAATCACCTGGTCAGTCGTTTCTTAGCTCTCAAACTCAGTCCATGCCAGTCGATGCTGATCTGCAACAGCAACAACATCTGCAGCAGCAACTCCAGCTTCAACAAGAGCAGCAGCAAAAGCAGCAGCTTCAACAGGCTCAGCTGCAACACTTGCAGCAGCAGCAAATGCAGCAAGCTCACCAACAGCAACAATTACAACAGCAACAGCAACAGCAGCAGCAATTGCAACAACAGCAGATGCAGCAGCAGTTGCAGCAACAGCAACAGTTACAACAGCAGCAACAAATGCAGCAGATGAAGCAACAGATGCAGCAACAGCAGCTCCAGCAAATGCAACAGCAAGGCTTTACATCTCAACAGCAGCAGCAAGCCCAACAGCAACAGCTTCAGCAGTATCAGCAAGCACAGCTGCAAATGTCTCTGCCACAGCAGCAGCAACAACAACAACAACAGCAGCAGCAGCAGCAAGCACAGTCTTCATTGCTCAATACCACTACTGGTCCAGGTTCTGTTTCAATGCAAGCTGCTGGGGCTTCCTCTTTTGCTAACACCTCCAATAACCTTATGTCGCAGCAACCCATTCCTTCATCAATGGGCTTTTCTGCGTCTCACCAACAGCAGCAACAACAACAACAGCAGCAGCTGGCAGCTATGCAGCAATATCAAATGATGCAGCAGCAGCAGCAACAGCAACAATCCGGCCAGGGAATGGCAGGTCAGTTTTCTGCAACGCCTGGTGCCGGAATGCTGTCCAATCCTGCCATGCAGGTTGGTGGGGCTGCACAGCATGCCGGTGTTGGTATGGGCGCTCAGGGTTCCATGGGTCTCATGTAGACTGCTGCTCAGACTTCCGTGAGTCTCGTGTAGACTGCTCAGACTCCCATGGGTCTCATGTAGACTGCTGTCCTACTAAGGCAGATGCCTTGACGGTGTAGTCATCGAACTGCTGTTTGTTCCGCATGATGTCTGCACTTTGACAATGTAGTCATCGAGGAGCTGTTGTTTGTTCTGCGTCCCTTCGGTTTATATGGGCCTGTAGAACTGGCCCGTACTGTATTATGAAGTGGGCACCTTGTGAACAGTTGAACATTTTCTTGAGCACAGTCACTGTCCAGCATGATTGAGATCAGCTAGATACAGGAGAGTTAGGTGTGTGTGATTTAGAATGCTGACATAGGTGCAGCTAAGTATTCATCTATGCCCTAGCTCTTTAGCCTGAGCAGTGCTGACAGCCTGAGTGGCGCTGATACGCCTTGTTGAAGTTAGGCTACCTACGCTCGTATTGAAGACAACAATTGAGTCTACTTACTTTTCAGTATATTACTTGTGTGTGTGTGTGTGTTGTTGTTGTTGTTGTTGGTGGTGTTGTTGATGTTGTATTTAGGCAGCCCTTGTTGTTGCAGAGGCTGGACCCTGTGCATGTGTATGCTGCAACTAGATGTAACGCTGTGTGTCTGCGTTGCGCCGCTTGTGTTCCCATTGCGCATGTTGTGTGTGTCTGCATTGCGTCGCTTGTGTTGCCATTGTGCATGTCGCCCTGTAGCCATATTGCTTCTTTCCTTAATGTTATGCTGGTTCAGAAAGGTGTTAGCGCTGTGTCATCTTGATTAGCTTCTATACTTCAAATAGCTGAAAATGCTTGCTCCTAGAGCAATACCCATACTGTCATTCAATATTGCCTTTTCCTTTATAAAAGAGTAATAATTCTAAAACGTATACCGGTACTGGCAACCTGGCTCTTGTGATCACTTGTGATCAGGGAGATAGATATAGTGGCTTCCTGCTTGTGATCAAGGAGATAGCTGTATAACACGTTATTTTTGGTGTTATAGGCTGTGTTTACATGAGAATTTTCAACCTGGGTCGAGTTCAGCCCGGGTTGAAAGTCTGTACGATAGACAAAAGAGGTGAGTGTTTACATGAAGACAGTTGACCCGGGTCAAATACTGATATGCCGCCAAAAGTCCACTTCTACAGTGCTGTACGGACCCGGGTTGATTTCAACCCTCCCCTTGGGGGGAGGATTGAAATCAACCCGGATCAAGCGCAATGCGTCATGTAAGCGCGCCATTCACTTTGTGTACATGGCGGGTTGAAATCTGACCCGGGTTTAACCCTTTCAGTGCCAAGGGGGTCAGAAAAATTCAAATTTTTCTGAGTTGAGCCGAACTCAAATTTTTCATAGCTCAGCTGTATATCCACGGATCTTTACAAACGATGGCTCTCTGGAAAGATATCATGGCCAGGCAGACAGCTGTGAAGAGAAAATACAGCGAAAATAGTCTTTCTCGCGAGGGCGCCTGAGCGAAGTCCGTTTTCTGCATTTTCGTAGCATCTGCACTTTCTCACGCGCGCGATCGATCGCAGTGCAGTCAACTTTCAACGCACGGAATTCGGACAAAGTTGGCCCGAAAGCCACTGAAAATCTCGATGTTTTGATACCCAATACGCATGGGTTGCCGCGAAAGAAATAGAGAAACCCGCGATGCGCATACGTCATGTTTTCTACGCGCGACAATTGTTTGTCCGAGCGCGCGCACTTCAGGCTTCGCCCTGGCGATATCTATCCCCACGGACACAAAGCGATGTGATGAGTCGATAGCCAAGGTCTTTCTGAACACGTAGAGTGGTCGTTTGTAAGGCTGTGTTTACATGAGAAATTTCAACCCGGGTCGAGTTCAGCCCGGGTTGAAAGTCTGTACGACAAACAAAAGAGGTGAGCGTTTACATGAAGACAGTTGACCCGGGTCAAATACTGATATGCCGCCAAAAGTCCACTTCTACAGTTCCGTATAGTCACGTGAATCCTTTCGCGCGAAATTTGCATCTGCAGCGCTGTTCAAACCTGGCGCGAGATACGCACAGAAGTACGTTTGTACGATTTTCTTGACCCGGGTTGATTTCAACCCTCCCCTTGGGGGGAGGGTTGAAATCAACCCGGGGCGAAATTTCAACCCGGGTCAAGCGCAATGCGTCATGTAAACGCGCCATTCACTTTGTGCACATGGCGGGTTGAAATCTGACCCGGGTCGAACTCAACCCGGGTTGAAACGCTTCATGTAAACACAGCCTAACTCTCCTGTGTGTAGAAGTGGAGATACGAATTTATTTGTACACACATACTCATTCTGGGCGACTAAAGTCGCCCGTGGCACTGAGAGGGTTAAACGCTTCATGTAAACCCAGCCATGATTTTCGGTAATTTCGGTAGAGAAACCAGGCACCTAAATTAAGATTACACCTACCCGTAAATGGCACTGGAGTATGCACTGTGGGTGCAGGGAACGCCGGTCACCTAATTCTACATTTCGCCTGAAACCTGACAGGTCCCTGATACTGAAATTTTCCTACATCTAAAATTACATGTTATTCCGTAACTCCCTGCTTGTGAGCAGGAAGATATACCAGTAGTGGAGTACTGACCTCCATGCTTGGGTTTAAGGTTGTATAGTTTCCAGGAAAGAGGAAATGGGACTTAGGGGCCATCAGGGGTTACCGATTGTTTTTGCGAAACGAAAAGGTTTGGTATTGTTCCACCCCCACCCACCCACCCTTTCTGCAGGTAAAACGCAGTCCAACAAAATATTGATTTCAATCTTCGGCCCCCAGACGTAGCCAGGCATTCTCCGTTCCTCCGTGTACATTCAATAATTATTTTCAAAACGAAACTCCTAAAACCCACCCACCCTCTAACGAAAGCATTTCGTTTTGAAAAATTGGTAACCTTGGACTGCCCCTTAGGGAAGTATTGCAGGGGGGGGGGGGGGGTCAGAAAGTGCATGATTGTACTCCTAGTCCCCCCCCCGCTGATTCCTCATTCTTTATTCCATTTGGCCTAAGCGAAGACTAGCCAAGCAAGCTTGCTTGGCGATGTCAACGCCAATGAAGTTTACCGCTTCTCAGTTTCCGGGGGGGGGTTCTAATACTCTTGGTATAATGAATAGTTCACCAAGCCTCCTCATGCCAAGACATACACCCTGAAATATAAGTTGTGTTCCCAAGTAAGTAGCCTCTACAAAAACTATAATCTCCCTGGCCTCACCCATGCTGTACAGCACATGCCTACGAGTACGTATGCTGGCGGGAGTGTTGAGAAGTGGAGAAGCGCAAAATAGTGTCTTATCGCCGGGGCATTACCCACTAGTGATCAATACACTAAGAGTGCTTTGCGCAACACAGTACACAATTGTGTACGCAGACAAGAGCAACATTTCGCTACGCATAGGCGCGACAGCACCTGCAAAAGCCTTCAAAAAGGGAAAAAATAAAATAGTCTTGCATCTGCTGCGAGTTGAAGCAGGTAGCAGTTGAAGCAGGTACAGGTAGCAGTTGCAAGAGCATGGTCGAAACGGATAGCACCGTGAAAGCCGGAATAAAACAGAAATTGGATGAATAAAAAATTATAACGAGCGGCCATGGTTCAAGCCGCAGAGGAGTTAGTGTATGTTGTGGGTGAGGGGTGCCGACGATGGTGGTGTTGTATGGGCACAAGACCAGCTTAGCATGCCCTGCGACTGGTAGTGGCGTTGTATGGGCACAAGACCAGCTTAGCATGCCCTGCTACCGTATCACATCAAGACCAGGCTACACTGACAGCAGCACATAGACAATGAGGGCGGACGCGACACGCAATGAAGCTTAATTAAGAGACGGAATAAAAAAAAAAGACATAAACAGCAGGTCCAACTCTGCTTGACATCTCCACAGAAAGGAAGAGAAACACCAGGGATAGATTCTTCGACACCGATGGGAGCAGCTGACCAGATACTTGTGTGGGAGACTGAGACTGAGCCCCAACTAACACCCCTGAAATAGTGTTGGCGAGAATCCAGATCTTTGTAGCGGAGAGTGGACAATGTAACGCTTGATCAATGCCATGACATCATCAGAGACAAAGTGACTGGACTATGAATGCTGTCACACCATCACCATATTACTAGTAGATCACGCCATGAGATCATTGATGCTGCAGGCCAGCCCATCAATAGCGCCCTGTGAGCACATCTCTGGCGCTAAGAAGAGCAGTTGAGGAGCATCGTCGTCGCCACCGGCCGCCGCTGCGTCTCCTTGTTCCAAGACCAGCGTACCGTCCTCCAACAGGGCCTTCACTGCATTCCTAACCGGGTTCACCGTCACTGTCTCAGCTGCACAGTACAGCACAGTACAGCACAGGCACACATTCACATACAGAAATGCAGATATTATAGAGATACAGCTTATGCACACATTGTACAGGTTTACAAAGTCCCGAACGTGTGTACACGCCGTGGGTGTTCATTGTGCACTTTACATGCGCATTAGACCAATCCAGTCCAATGGAAGACAAATTACTTTTCCAGCTTCATCACACCTCGGGTAGAGATAGTGCCTTGCTAGACCTCCTGCCGAAAAAAGGCTTTCGTATGAAATGCCTTTAGGGCACGTTTCATAGTGGAAATAGCAGTCAACACAATAGAGTCAAGTTACTCCTGTACATTCAACACCCAACCACCGTGGCCCCAAGCGGGTCTGCGGGGTTCTATGGGATTTCGCACATCTGCACAATGTGCCCAAGGCTTATCAGAACCCACACCTATTAGGAAATCCCCCCCCCCCCCCGGGTAAGCATCTATTTGCTGTTGGTCGAACAGGTTCGACACGAACAAAATGCAAATTTGAAAATTCCGGCCTGCGCGTAACACAACGAGGTGCAAACACAGGGTATGAAAAACCGGCAGCAACAAAACAGGTAGAATATGTTCACTGCGCCATGTGATGTCTACCTTCACAGTCATGCACAAACACTCAAGGACACAGGTTGAGGTTTGGAAGAATACAATTAGATACAAGTGTGAAGAAGACAGGTAAGAACAGACAACCAGGTCAAGCCAAGCATGCACTTCAGGCGACTAGTCCAAGATGGCGCATGCTGGTTGTGACGTAATACACAGGCAAAATATATGACGTAATAGTCACGTGATAAGACATGAGCATCATATCACATCAGAATCCTTCAAATAAAATAAACAACAATATGTACATGTACACGAAACCCTCCAGGATGTTACATGTGGTACGTGTGGTGTGGTATGTTATCTCCCACGAAGCTCAACAGGACAGCAGCCAAGCACAGCCTCCACACAGTGAGCTCCACAATGATAATCCTGGGCAGGTCAACAACCCAGCACAGCACAGCCTCTACACGGAGGCCGCCTCAGCAACGATTACCCAGTGCAGTAATACTTACAGTACTCCGTCAAGCCCGCGTCCAGTCGTTCCTGCAGCTGCTCTTTCACCGCCTCAACAAACTTGGACTCTGAACAAAAAAAGACAGCGTCACACAGGTGAACAGGCTGAATTTAACGAAGCGAACAGACTTCCGTTTACACAGTACAGCAGCTGTCAGCTGGAAACACAACAGCGAACATACTTCATTCCTCAGTCTGAACCTTCTTTTCCTTAAAGAAAACAATCTCTGCCCAGTATAATTATGCATCTACCTCAGCAATATGATGACTGACGTGCTAGAGAAAGCACAGATACATATTGTACACGGAGACGAAAGACTACATAAGAATAACAGGACATAGGCACAACGTACAGCCATGTCTCCACAAGATAGCACGGCAAAAACTAAAGCAACTAACTTACCCTCCATGCCATCATCAAGGAGAACACACAGCTGGCGAGTTGTAATCCAGTAGATCTCCAGCTGTGGTCGGAGCAGAGACTGAAAAAACTGAATCCAGTCTCGTGAGTACGCGCTTAGTTTCAGCTGGAGGAATGAAGAACCAAGGTGCACACAATCAGGAGAAGATGAATTCACAATTTCACACGGTTACAGGAACAGACACAGACAAGGTCGAAACCAAAGTGTGCCAAAAACAGCACAAGGACAATTAGTTGCTATTCACAGAACACCGCTTCATACCTTCAACTTGATGGATCCTCCAACTTCCGCCTCCTCATCCCATACATCCGTTTCAGCACGATACCTTTGAGAGTACGCATTCTGAATATGACAGCAAACGAAAACCCCCAAAAAGAGTGGGTGAGAGAGAACGCCAATGGAGCACCTGCGGCAGAGTTGTTGTTTGTTGTTGTTGTTGTTGTTGTTGTTGTTGCTGTTGTTGTTTGTTTTGTTGTTGTTGTTGTTGTTGTTGTTTGTTGTTGTTGTTGTTGTTGTTCAAATCTTTATTCTCACGTTGTTGTTGTTGTTGTGACCTACACAATCCATTATGGCAATCTGTGGCGCGAGTGTGTCAAGCTCTTGATGAGAACTCACACACTGCGATTGACTTCAGCCCTGGCTGCAGGAGCAGTGCAATACTACTAAAGCCCACACTCTTGTGCAACACACAATAGGACTGTAATGGATGACTCTCAGTCAGGAGAGAACTTACCGATGATGGAGATGACAGGACGGACCTGTTCATGAGAACTTACCGATGATGGAGATGACAGGACGGACCTGTTCATGAGAACTTACCGATGATGGAGATGACAGGACGGACCTGTTCATGAGAACTTACCGATGATGGAGATGACAGGACGGACCTGTTCATGAGAACTTACCGATGATGGAGATGACAGGACGGACCTGTTCATGAGAACTTACCGATGATGGAGATGACAGGACGGACCTGTTCATGAGAACTTACCGATGATGGAGATGACAGGACGGACCTGTTCATGAGAACTTACCGATGATGGAGATGACAGGACGGACCTGTTCATGAGAACTTACCGATGATGGAGATGACAGGACGGACCTGTTCATGAGAACTTACCGATGATGGAGATGACAGGACGGACCTGTTCATAAGCTTCTCTAGAGAACTGGTTAGTACAGTCTTCAGTGGCTGGCAGGGCTGCAAGGACAACAACAACAACAACAACAACAACAACAACAACAACAACAACAACAACAACGACAACAACAACAACAACAACAACAACAACAACAGCACAGCAGCAATAATGACCAGAGAGCAGAGCATTCTGTACTTATGAAAGGTCTTCTTGTGTTGTTGCAGCGGCACGTCATAGCCAGGACATCAGGCTATAACATGGGAATATTTTAAAACAGTCCTTCTTCTGCATGCAGTGACAACTACTACTGAACTAGTAGACTAGTACATGAACACATTAAAATGTTCATGCACTAAGACCAGTAATGTTAACGAACATTTAATTCTAACGATTTAAAACGAATTCTAAAAAATCGTAAACATTTGAAGTCGTTATGAGCAAAATGATACTCAATCTGCGGACAGCATGCTGTTTCGTTCTTTGTGAACTCATCAGCGCAGCACAGAGAAAATTAGGCCGAACCTGATAGCAATGAAAATAATTTTTTTAAAGCATTGAACAGTAATTTGTCGGTTTTGAGACAGAATTTATTAGAGTTTCACCTCGCTAACCCACAAAAAATCCGGAGATCGTTAGCTTTAATTGACGTTAAAATATCCTGTCTTACAGTAGTTGTGACTACATGTAGAAGTAGACTGCAATCAACAGCACAGCTCATGGAGTACCAACACACCCACTTTTGTCCCATCGCCTTCTTTTTGGGGATTTTCATCTCTCTGCAGCCATGCACTCCAATAAGAATTTTAAAAAACACACACACTTCTAGGACATCTTGGACTGTGGTTGTCCGATTTGTACATGGATGTTGCTTGCTTCACACTCCAGTACTTTGTCACGTTGTTTTCTCAACCAAACATCACTACAGTACAGTCTTCATTCTGTCCATTTACAAGTAGTATTTACCAGTGTGAAGTCGAATTCCTTGCGCAGTAGATTGCAGACGTCCTCGGCCACAGTAAGTAGCTATTAGATATCCAACACAAGAAATAAAGACGTGTTGGCATACCATCCTAAATGTTCACAATAAGGGAATGCAAGGAAGGAGCGGCAGATTGAAAGCATAGTTCTGGCAGTCCTGCTACAGTTGCGCTCACTGAAATCCGAGCCAAAGTGCAAAGCTGGCAATGCCCTGGAGCAGTTCCCAACACATCACTGTACGTGTACATGTGTAGTACGTCCAGCCGCATTCCTACCACTTCCAGGGCCGTGCAAGTTGAGGGCTACAAGTACACCCTTCGGATTGGATTTGGCCGAGCACAACTGTAAATTGGACTACTTCACAGCTAAACCCAAACAACAAGACACCAAGTCAAAGACTGGTCCCAAACAACAAGACACCAAGCCAAAGACTGGTGGTGCCATTGTGTATGTCCCACTCACACTGCATCTACAGTCAACCGCACAAACAACGGCATTTGGTCGAAAATAATGTTGCTAGTTGCGACGTGTTGTCCTTCACGCAGTGCCAATCAAATGTATGCTGTATTCGAGAAAATGCACATACAGTGTACTAGTAACCTACTTCAGACTGGGTGATGTCTATTTCACACGTCCTGTTCTGGATGAACTTTTGACTGCTGTAGACCATTGAGTGGAGGCTGCAAGCTATATGCGGCATGCAGGAAGTTCACATGCAACACATCATCCACGTCAGCACACACACGCGTCCGCACGCGCACGCACACACACACACACGCATACACACACGCACACACACACGCACACACACACATACACACACACACACACACACAGTTTTCATTCAGTTCGCAAGACAATGTCGGACTGTGGGGCCGACCAACAGAGACTAGACTGAAGACAATCACCTCTATCCATAATAGCATCCAGGACATTATGCACTCAGAGGGACAAACTCACAATGCTACAAGCAGACAAAATAATTTCAGGATGAATTGTTGCTACAAAGAAAGTCTAGATTGAACATGTTCTTCGAAGTAGTGATGAGCGAAATGCAATAAGCTCAGGGGCGTGCTCCGCCCCCTAACTAGGGGGGTGCACGGGAGCCGAGGGGAGCCCCCCCCCGGCAATTTTCTGCAATTTGTTTGCAACCTTTCTTGAATTTTAGAGCATATTTGCATACATTACAATTGCAATTACCCAGATTGAAATTTTTTGGGGGGTGCACGTGCCCCCCGTGCCCATCGCCGAGCACGCGCCTGAAGCTAGTCTTCGTAGGCAATGCCAGTACATAAGCCAATACGGATACAATGTGTGAACAACTGCAACATCGCAAGACGATTACCCTATTCCTTAGTATGGTGCGCCTCGCACTCTGTAGACCGATAGTGGTAAAGAATTCAGCAAAGCCAGAATGTAATCAGAGATGGATGAGGCGCGGTCACTAAAGATAACCGGTTGCCCTACCACCTACAACCTCGCAATCTACGGCAAGACAAACTCGTGCCAACAAATTGCCTGGTCTTGCAAGCATGAAGCTGAGTATTCCCTCTCTCTCCTTGCTTGCATCTACTACCTATCTACGAATCAACCTATCTACCTCTCCAACTGAATCCACCATATGAGTTCAACAATGCAGCACCAAAGCTACAGCATAACCAGTACCATGGTGCTAAGCATTCGTCATGGTGCTTTCTTACCCATCACAGATTCCACGAGAAAGCTCGGCAAAATCTTCAATCACACAGAAAAAGAAGAAGAGGATAAGACTCATTACAATGGAAAAGTCACTGTTCAGAACGGTTTTTCCAGTGACATCAATTGTTGGTTTGCTTTGCATAACTTGCTTGTAGGATTTATACAACACAACTACTGCTCCTTACAACATGCATCTCAAACTCAGAATTCTTCATGAAATCCAAAATACTTTTAAATATGTAACTCAAGCATCTTTTATTTTATAGCGCCCCCCCCCCCCCCCCCCCCACACACACACACACTGCGAATAGGTGAGCACAGACATAATCATTAGTGAGTGCAGCGTTGAACCTGTGGTAGCTCACTGACCTGTGCTGCACAAGTCGTCATCTGAAACACAGAGGGTAGGGTAAGGGATGGCGTGACAAAGCAGTCCTCCCTCTCATCACAGTTGGCATCGTCAATCTCCACTGGCGATACATCAACGACATCGGACAGAACACGGCACGCATGGGAAACGGCCTCTGCCGGGCTACCAGTGAAACCAATGTCCCTGAGATGAAAAAGAAGAAGAAGAAGAAGTGCCAAGCACACACACACACCGATAGTATCGGACTATCCATACATGAGGTCCCATGTGTTTCTCAAAAGCCAAGCCAGCAGAGAACATCTATTTAAGGTGGGTCAGACCACATGAGCGCACATAAAAAAAGACAGCACCTTGGGCCAACATCATACTGGCCAACCCTCCCGAAAATCCCGGGAAATCAACACTACTCCCGGGGTCCCGGGGATTTCAATCAAACTCCCGGAAAAGTCACAGTTTTGTCTGATGCAGGATTTTCCTGAAAACTCCATGGATTCGCCTCGAATGTCCCGGTTTTTTCAAAAATATGACTGTGCCCATTCGCACTTCTAACTGCGCACGGCACTTTCAACACCTGACCAGCCTAGCCTGCAAGATCTGCACTGACAAAGTGACCTTGGTGACAGGCGGGCGCCGACTGATCTAACTGTGCTGTACGCAGATCTGCAATCGCCACGCAAAGTGGTCATTGGCTACCCCAGCCATGTATTGCTTGGAATAAAATAAAATAAATAAAATAAATCTGCAGAGTCGAACGTTTTTTTGGTGGGAAAAGCTATTTTTCACCAGTTGTTGTGTCATCCAGGGATTTTGAGAGAAATCCAGGGATTCTGCATGTCTTGTCAAGGGATTTATTAGATTTTGGTGGTTGGTCAGTATGCAACATGCAAGGGGAGTGTGCAACCCTAAGATGACTAGTACATTTACTACTTTTTGACGAGTTGCAATGGTATAACGCGAACAGGGAGTGTGGCTGGGGGCTCAGGCTCAATGAACAAAGGTTCATAGAATTTCGTGTTTCGTTTTGTTTTCCTTACGTTGTGACCATGGCGTTTGACCTGGCGGGCTTCCCCTTTTTCGTTTAGTCCGACCAACTGATTCGCTACCTTCCCCGCATTTTGCTCCCAAGCATGCCAAAAGATGCAGCATCCAGCCGCTACCAGCAAGTCCAGTGTATCAATGGCTGCTGTTGTCTCTACCCCGTGCAAGTCCAGTTTATCAATGGATGCTGTAGTCTCTACCCCGTGCAAGTCCAGTGTATCAATGGCTGTTGCTTCTACCCCGTGCAAGTCCAGTGTATCAATGGCTGTTGTTGTCTCTACCCCGTGCACGTCCAGTGTATCAATGGCTGTTGTTGCTTCTACCCCGTGCAAATCCAGTGTATCAATGGCTGTTGTTGTCTCTACCCCGTGCAAGTCCAGTGTATCAATGGCTGTTGTTGTCTCTACCCCGTGCAAGTCCAGTGTATCAATGGCTGTTGTTGTCTCTACCCCGTGCAAGTCCAGTGTATCAATGGCTGTTGTTGTCTCTACCCCGTGCACGTCCAGTGTATCAATGGCTGCTGTTGTCTCTACCCCGTGCCAGTCCAGTGTATCAATGGCTGTTGTTGTCTCTACCCCGTGCAAATTCAGTGTATCAATGGCTGTTGTTGTCTCTACCCCGTGCACGTCCAGTGTATCAATGGCTGCTGTTGTCTCTACCCCGTGCACGTCCAGTGTATCAATGGCTGTTGTTGTCTCTACCCCGTGCAAGTCCAGTGTATCAATGGCGGTTGTTGTCTCTACCCCGTGCACGTCCAGTGCATCAATGGCTGTTGTTGTCTCTACCCCGTGCACGTCCAGTGTATCAATGGCTGTTGTTGTCTCTACCCCGTGCACGTCCAGTGTATCAATGGCTGCTGTTGTCTCTACCCCGTGCAAGTCCAGTGTATCAATGGCTGCTGTTGTCTCTACCCCGTGCACTGTCTTGTTAGTCATTTCGCCTAATAAGCAATACACAGACACACAGTGCTGCTCCACCATACTGACACTGCACAGTCTACAGTAACCAACACACAGGCATAGTGCGGTCAAAACACACACACACACACACATACACACACATACACACGCACGCACGCACACACACACGCACACACACGCACACGCACACACACACACACACACACACACACACACACACACACACTGCTGCTACACACCTTCTATTCTCTCTAAGAGCGTTTTCTAGCCACTCATAGGATTCGCACAGCTGGGACATCTGCACACCGCGGCGGAAGCGCGTCAACAGCAGACAGGAGACAATGTGCGTGCTCATGGCGGGCACCAGCCGCTCCATGGTGCTTCGGACATGCATACCGAGCGATTGCACCAGAGAGCGTCGGCCCGACACCACCTGTGTGTTGCCACCAGCGGGTGATGATTGGGTACTGTCGCTGTCGCCGGTATCGCTTTGAGACAGCTGGTGTGGCTGCTTACGCACGTACTCCTGCCATCAGAAAGAGCAACCGATCATGTTATAGTCCTGTACTAGAAAGAGCAACATCATGTCATAGTCCTGTACTAGAAAGAGCAACATCATGTCATAGTCCTGTACTAGTAAGAGCAACACCGACCGATGTTTTGAGTGCCGACAGATTCTTCTTTTTTTGTATGCATTCATGCATATGCGCATCATACGCATGTACATGTACGTGCTCGCACTTCGCATTATGTCAGGTCCAAGGCTAAAGCTCTTCCTTCCTGCTCCTGGCTCTGGTCGGCTAGACATTTCAGTCCTCTGTTTCGAGTTGACTCGATTGAGTCGGATTCATTGCAGGGTGGTTCTATTTGCCGAGCGTAACATTTTCGACACTGAAATGTTTTAGTTTAGAAACTCTACTGGCAAAACGTTTCCGTCACTATACATGTAGTTGCCGGCGGCTGGACCGTCGTCAACAGGTGCATCGTTCGAGTCACGTACCCTGAGCAATTTGTTGGAAACTCTTCATCCAGACGGCGTCACTCGCTTCAAAGCAGTGTTTGTTTTCGAAACCGGGTCAAGCCGCAACGGTGCTGACAAGAGTGATGATGTTGGACTTCATTTTTAGTTCGGACGCCGATTCTTTTTCTTTACGTTGGAGCAACACGCTTAGCTGTAGTTCCTAGCCCACAACGATCACTGAACGATGTGTTGAGGTGCAACGTCTCGGAGCTCTGCTCTGCTCGGTGTCCGAGTACGACCAGTTTGACTATTCCTGGCAGTCTGATCGAGCTGTTGATTGCTATGTAGTCTACATGTATGCCTGGTTTATCGACCACACCTTTTCTATCTGGGATGTGTACTGAAATGTGCAAACCAGTCTGGCATGCACAAAGGTTATCAGCAAGAAAAGAAAGAAAGCCGATCGACCGGTATTTTTCTGGCCATGTTACCCGAAACCAAAGACTTATTCCATGCGGCCGCATAGTCTTGTACTTCTGTCGTAGAAAGAGCAACATCATGTTATAGTCAACAAGAGGAGGATGAAGATTAGGCTGTAAGTCCGAGTTTCACGCACAAGGCAATTGTCAGACATCAGTAATGAAATAAATCTGCATGCTGGTTTCCACACACACTGGTCTAGTCTAGTGCCAGAACTCGATCTGGGGACAGCGCTGTGGACTCATCAGTCCACCGCAGAGAAACAAGGCCAGGTCTGCTAGGCTAGTAGCAATGAGAACTTTTAAACCAAATCCATGTGAACTTTGCCAGAGTAACCTGACAAATCAGTGAGATACGCAGAGTACAGGTGAGACAAAGAGCTGCAATAGTGCAATGCACTGTCCAATGACTCTGTAGCTTTTCTGTGTGTATGAATCATGAATTGGCCCTTTCAAACACATGTACACTCAACCATGAACACAGGCAAGATAGCAAACAATGATACACACTTTATACAGTGCTGGCCAGAGAAATACAACCTCATGAATAAACTAGTGCCGCGTTCGAGTGCACGGACCAGTATGTGTAGTGCTAGGGCTGCGTAGCACCCGGCGCTATTTTATTCATGAGGTTGGATTTCTTTGGCCAGCACTGTACACGCGTCACCAAGTGAAGGGCAATGTGAAAGTTGGCCTGACCGAGGACAAAGTACTCCACTGCGTCAACTCCGGTATCCCGGAACAGAATTAAAGTTGATACAAGTGCTTGAACATCCCACTCTACTCCTAAACTCACGTTTACGGAGAAAGGTTGACCGAAGTTGACACGAACCTGACCAATAGAACCGGTCAGCATACGCCACAGTCCGCAAAGTGTGTTCCAAAGTGTCTCATTTTCTTTCGGGTGACCCTACGTAGCAGAGAGAGAAAGAGAAAGAGAAAGAGAGAGAGAGAGAGAGAGAGAGAGAGAGAGAGAGAGACACACACACACACACACACACACACACATGTGCACACACACACACATACACACACACATACACACACATACACACACACACACACACACACACACATGCACGCAGCAGAACAACAGTACACAGATGCCAGAACATTTCATCAGATGAGTTCAGGAACTGTAAAAGTAAATGACCACCCAACAACAGGACTACATATACATGAATACACATTTCACTGAAAGTGCCGTCCTCGCATGGCTCAAGCATGGCGTATGCAGAGTATGGACTGTTCACAAGAAAATGGGTGTCTGGCAGTGCAAAAATTAAAGATCTCCAGCAAACCAGATCCATTGGTCACCCGTCATTGACTGGATAACGGATTTGTTTCAGCAGCATGGTAATTTTGAATACACATCTATCGAGCAGTAGGCTAACAGCATCTAGGCTCCAAACATCATGTGATGCAAACTTGTTCGGGACTACGACAAAGAAGTATCCATACCATTAGTTCGCTTGCCAGCGAGTTAGACTCCAGTGTCTGTGGTGCACACCAAAGCATATACATGCAAGAAACACACACACACGCATACATGTACGCACACACACACACACACACACACACACACACACACACACACACACACACACACACACACACACACACACACACACACACACACACACACACACATCAACACGGGGAGACAAGCGTACACACGGGAGCGGGCTAGGCACAAATGGTGACTTGGGTGCACCGCATGCTTTTTGAGATAGGAACTTTCGAAGTGCAGAGTTGTTCATGGCGGGGAATCCCCTTGCTGTCTCCCATAACGGTTCAGTGCAGCTTTCTGCAGTGGATCCATGCTTTGCGCTCCCCCAAAGTCCAAGAAGAACTCAAATCGACCCATGTGTTGTTGAGAACGGTTTACATTCATCGGACCACGGTAGAATTTTTTTAGAACGTTTGCTTGGTGGAAGGATAAGTACAAGAGAGAGAGAGAGAGAGAGAGAGAGAGAGAGAGAGAGAGAGAGAGAGAGAGAGAGAGAGAGAGAGAGAGAGAGAGAGAGCTGTGGGAGTCCCAACGAACCTTCAAATTGCACCTGGCTCCACACAGACATCAGAACAACTCCTACCATCATTGCCAAGTACATCATACGCCTCGAGCTACACAAGGCAGCTGGCCTGGATGGTATGATGAATGAACTATTGAAGATTCTTGGTCCTTCTATCTACTGTCAGCTGAGCTTGATTTCTAACCTGTTCTTTTTGACGTTTTTGTCTGGTGTTTTCCTTCTGCCTGAGAGCTATGTTGTTGTTGCTGTTGTTGTTGTTGTTGTTGTTGTTGTTTCCATTTACAAGAATGAAGGCAGCAAGTCTGACCCAGCAAATCCTCTAATTTCAGAAATTTTAGGTACAGAGGAGCAGTTCACTATTGGATTATGTGTGTTAGTGTTTGTTCGGTGTATTGAAATTTAGGTATGAAACAGATGCACCGAAAGTACCGAAAATAAAAGTACACCGAAAATTTGTGAAATTACAATAACCATCTGGCCAGAACTGTATGAATGCCAGCAGATATCACCAGCACGGACACACCGATTACAAACTCAACAGTACACAGAGATGGATACCACCATACCCTATCATAGGCTATAGACGTCGGCACTAAGTAGATGTCCGATATCGACCCTGCAGTGAAACAAGCAAGCACGGACAACACACAGCAACAATCACGTAGGGTACAGTATGCCACACACGCAAAGGGACGGAGGACGGAATGCGGTGCTAGCTGTTACACCCGGAATAGAAAGGACCACTTGAGTAGTGCACGCACATGCATACACAAGTAAAAATTAACGCAATGATTGAATTGTTCCACTGCTCACCAGTGCAATCAGCATACATGTACAAGTGTTACTAAGCAAGAGGCATTCAAATAAATTAAATGATCTACATCATCACAGAACTGCTCCTACCTTCGACGACAGCATCAACTACGACGGACATCAGTCCCAGCTTTGGTTCACCGACTTTCCCTGACCGTGAGCGACTACCCTCTGCAGACCAGGGCACACCACCAAGGCACAACACCAAGGCACAACAACAGAACAGTGACTGCAGTGAGAATGTGTCCGGGTGATGCATAGGTGATAGGAATAGAGGCCCACTAGAGGCCCATAGCAATCCTATCCAGGTGTCTACTGCAGTGAAACAAATCAAAATCCCTGTCGAAAGACCTGGGCGACACGCAGCTCAAAATCAGACCACGCACAACAGTATGTGCTGACACCCCCGCCACACACACACACGCAGACATAGACACAGCCACCGAGGAGAGGTGCATAGCCAGAATTAACCCCCTTTCTTTCCAAGAGGACTTCCATAAAGGTTTGACACGGGTAAGGTAGTTTGTTCCACGTGTCTCTATATCCCAGTGCCAGCAGTACCCATCAACAAAAGAGTATTTAGTGACCATAAGCATGAGCACGACTGCAAGTTGCATAGCATTCAGCAGCTCCACTCTCTAACCTGTGTAGAACATGAGCGTCTGATTTTGCTTCAGCAGCTGCTCAATGTGCTGTACAAACAAACACACATACACACACACACACACACACACACACACACACACACACACACACACACACACACACACACACACACACACACACACACACACACACACACACATGGAGAAAACAACTTGAACAACGAGACAGAGCAATGAGAGAGAGAGAGCCTCGGAGAGAGAGAGAGAGAGACAAAGAGAGAGCCTCGGAGAGAGAGAGAGAGAGAGAGAGAGAGAGAGAGAGAGAGAGAGAGAGAGAGAGAGAAAGAGAGAGAGAGATTTCCTATGACAGTGTAGGTCTCAGCAAATACATGATTCACTCGATATACATAATAAAACGTTAAAAAAATGCATCATATTCAATTATCCGTACCTCTTGCAAAATACCGCGATAAAGAGTGTCTTTCTTGCCCTCCTCCTGGTCCAGTCGACGGCGGATGAAGAACGACCCGTGGTTGCGGAACAGCGTTCTATTGAGCCACACAAATCATGAGAGAAAAGGAAGCAATTGACATCTGACTAGTTCAAGAATGATACTACTATAAGTAATTTTTACAGAATACTGGACATGATGAATGGGCGCATGCATCTTGTCCCCTCACCTCCACTGTTACGCACCATATGTACTGCAAGGACCTAAGGTGTGTCAGTAACTCAAGGAAAGGGAAAGGCAGTTCTGCTAGCGAATCCAGTCAAGCAGTTTACCTTCACAGCTTTCCCTACAGAAATTCCCCACTTGACACGCAACCCAAACAGGGAAGTAAACCCCGGAACAATGCAGGTGCAATAAATACGCGATTTCTTGCACCAGCAGGTACGATGTCTCATCAGACCCAGCTCATGCCCTACAACATGTAGGGTCAGATTGCTCTAGTTGTCTCATTACTACATTAGCGGTACATCCGTCCTGCATTTCAAGTTTTCAACAGAGATACACCTTTAATGCAACTGCTACAATAGGCATGCCACCAAGATCACCAAGATACACAATCTGCGGACAGAACTGTTTCGTCCTTTGTTGACTCTAATCACCAAGATACGTACGCTATAAGTGGCAGGTTGAGATTGTCTAGACGGATAGCAGGCACACACACGCAGCACACAAGAGAAAACAAATTGGACTCCTGGGATCTACTTGAGATGGGGGGCACAGCACAATTACGGTCATTGCACGAAAACCAGTGAAGCTGGGCTCTAGCATGCGTTAGCACTAATCCAACAAGCAATGGCACTTCCAGAAGACTGCAAACAAACTACATTGCACTATATTAAATGTACCACATACCTCCAGCAACGGTCCTGGGTATCTATGGGAAGTTGGAACAACAGAGACGTGAACAGCACAGAGAAGCAACACATCACTGCCAACAGTGCCTCCGCGCTTCCATACGCCATGTCTAGAGGACTCAAAGTTATTACGGTAACATCACACGTTTATTGGCATATGCCATCGTGATTTAAAATGAAATAATAATGTTAAGTCCCCACACCCCATATAGTGTTCCCCCACATGCACCCTGCACCACAGTAATCCCGCACGGATAACTTCCCTGTGATCTATAAACTGCATGTACCCTGAACCCCATACTAGTACATGTAGTTCCCGCATCCCAATTCTTGAATGATACCTAGCCCAGTGACCCCGCACTGATAGGTCACATTCCCGTATCGCACCTTTTTCCGTTGGTCCGAGTAGCTGCATATGCGATCATCATCCATATTTGCCATAGCTATCCAGGCCCTTTAACTTTGTAATCGTAGCTCTCTCTCTCCCCCCCCTCTCTCTCTCTCCCTCCCTCCCTCCCTCTGTCTCTCTGTCTCTCTGTACCTATAACAAGAACGATTCTGACTCTCGCAGTGTCGTTGTCCTTTCGTGAGCTTGACAGCTATCTAATATTAGCACCCAAAGATAACCTCTGCCCTGTAATGAGAGCCTAAGTGGAGGGGTGGCTCAACAACCAGACATACAACAACGACAGCGGCAGCAGCAGCAGCAACAACCGTGACAATTAATAATTCAAACAAACAACAGTACCTGCTGTTCCGTTATGAACATAACAAATAGCAGGATGAGGGAGTCCAGGTGGCTTCGGTGAGTCGGAAGAAGAACAATAGGAACACGCTCCTGGACATACCAAGCATAGAGACAAATAAGAAAAAATGTAACAGGCAGCGAGGTGTTGGGCACTCTTCATGCTTATCATGAATAGGCGACAGCCAGGGTGTGGAACAGCCGAAGACACAATACAAACAGCGATTGGGACTGTGCTGTACAGTGTGATCGTTGGGGGAACACGCCCAATGGGCAAAAATATTGGCAGTTGATGGCATACAGTGAGTGCATCTGAGCGAATGATCAAGCGCATGAGATGGTGAAGCTTACTGCAGCATATGTAGACAATTACGAAAACTATCTATGGAATGGGGGGGGGGGGGGGGGGGAGGAATATTTTGATGCCCTGTATCGTCTGGACCATCAGCTGTACATTGATTTGTGAAGGTCAAAATCCACCCCGCAGCTGACAGACTTTTGACATCCTTTTATGCAGTTGGAAATGGAAAACTAGGAATACAAACTTGAACGTGACTTTTCACCTCTTAGAGAGCTGTAGCATATACTGGTACATAGAATTGTGAGGGGGTAACGTTACTAACGTAACTAATGTTTAATGACTTGCTACTGCGCACCGGAGAATACAGCATGCTTTTTAAGGCATGTGAGGCATGGGCTATTCTCAAGCACAGGCCTGGGGTAAAGGGAAGTTACACACAGAAAAAGATAACTATCAAAAGCCAACCTCCATTGCCTTTCTCAGCATCTTGACCTCTTCGTAACGAATATCTAGCGATGTGACTAGCTTGCGCAGGACATGGTATACCAGCCAGCCGATGCACCTGTATACACACACATATGCACAACAGTCACCCGGTCACCCACATTCACACAACCACATGCACATAGGAACACACACAGGCAAAATCTGTCACAGCAGCACAGTACAAGCTGTACACACAACCAAAAGCAAGACCACTGTCACACCTAATCAGATTATATACATGCAGTATGCCGATGGTAACTCTGGACTCCGGATTCAGACAATGTGGTAGTGTGGGTAGTGAAAGTATAGGATGGCTTAGAATCTGGTAAAAAAGTAGCACCACCAATATACAAGAGGTGATATGACCGGGTTCATACAGAAGGGCAACGATTGCACTGCTGGGCGACAAAGACTGGCTAACAAGTTGGCAAATGGACAAGTAGCCAAGATCAACAAGAGGGCCGATTGGATAGTGGAGTATATGCCGTCTGACAAGGATCCCTTCCCAATACTAGCCAGTGCAGGCTAAATTTTATTTTTCAAGGAAACCCTTCGAAAATGGTACCAATCGATTCAGCATGGCATTTTCATTCCTCCTGCAAAGTTTCAGCTGATTTGGAGTCATGACAAGGACGCTATGGCGATTTGAAGATCGAAAAACTTCACTTTTGTTTGTCAAGAAGAAAGACCATGATCGCACACAAATCATACAACCCGTGTGGCACAATGATTTTTGAACGAAGTTGATCCGCGGACCCCGTGCTTCGCGCATGCATGCATGCATACTGCATGCATGCACACACACAGTACAGAGGCTTTTTTGAACGCAGGTAGTTCTTCGTCTTCTTCGAAATGTCTTCTAAATGCGTGGTGCTGGTGTTGTTCTCAGCTTCGTCAAGGCAGAATGCAGCTGCATGTGATGCTCCTGTGTGTTCATGCATGTTCTCTTTTCGCGTCTCGACATTGTAGCGTCCAGACTCAGCTCGACTGGAGAAGATTGAGGAGACTATGCTTTGATCCACATGGAAAATCGATGAAATTTGGTAATTATCGTCGGGCGCTAAAAAGCGCTGGGGAGCATGGGGCTAAAACTTCGTAGCAGTCATCCCTACCATGACAGGCATCGACTGGTATATGTTCCATTCTGTTCCCAACCACTACGGGTAGTCTGCGAAGCTTTCTTCTTCGCCTATTCTCGGACAGATCGTACGTCTTCGCACTGTATCTCTCGTCTCCCTCAACGGATCAAAACACGGTTTTCGCCAGGACGAACACAAACCCCCAGATTTCGCGGTGGCAACATCTTCGAGTAGGGAAAAGCTAGCAGCTAACCAGGAATCACCAAAAACACGTGTAATACTCAGTGTGATTTGCGACAGCTGTCATTGTGCCGTCGCACCATGCATGTACCATGCACGGGAATGGAACACGGATGAGTCGTTTTATTACGACAGCCTGCACTGGCTACCAATACTACTTGTATGCTACTGTTGGTGCCAAACGGTGCTGCATGGTTCTGTCGACCTATACAGGAATATGCAGTGTACCAGCACCACTCATGTACAATAGAAACAATACCCACATGCCAGTCCAGGGACCACTTCATACCTGATGGCAACATCGCTGACAGAGGAAGAAAGACTATGGGCAATGCTTTGCGCCTGTTTTACCACCGAGCGACGAATGCCAGCTTCAGCGCCTGGTACTAGAAAGACACGAGAGAGAGAGAGAGCAGGTTCACATACACAGTATACAATAGCACTGCATGCATGTGGCAAACCACTTTCGACCAGAAGACCATTGTCAATTTGTCATGTTAGTGTAAGTACATAATGAGCTGGATTAGCGTACAAGCCGGGGTAGTACAGCGAGGGTGTGTGATCATTGGAACCACCGCACCGCTACAGGACGGCAGTGGCTCTGGTGGCAATGACAGCAGCTACTGCCTGCATCTAAGGCTGCTGGCTGGGAACAAAGTGAAAAGGATTCGTTAAACTAGCGGCAAATATCAAGAGACAAGGCTTTTCCTGTACACTACACATCTTCCAGCCACCATGTTCACTGTACATTTGTAAGAAGCAAGAGAAGAGAAGAGGACAATGCCACAACTTCTGGAAGATGGCATGGCACAACAATGTTTACGTATGAGAGTCAGTCAGACTGATGTATTCTGCAGCAGTATGGTGATTTCCAAAAGACGCATGCAGGTGGCACAGTTGAGCATCATCGCAACGGCTACCTGAATCGTTACGCGCAATCACCTCTTCTCGAACGACTTGATCAATGCTAGCTTTCACTCTGCAAAATACAATGAATGCATGTACAAACACACACACCGGTACGCATGATCAGCAGATGGCTTGGGCAAGGCCTCCTCTAGGTAATTCTTACTTTCTATATCAATATATCTAAGGATTCCCCCAAGGCTAAAAGCCTACTCATCTAGGACGTCCGTCTTCATCAGCTAACACACAGGAATTCCTGACACATGTACATAACTCCACGCCAACGGTGACAGAACATTTCACGCACTGGGCAGACGCAACTTGAACGAATACGGCTGCAAACCTAGATAAAGCTTACCGTCTAACTGGCAAGCACAAAGCAACACTGACTGCTGGAAAAGCAAAACAGTTTTTGTGCAGAGAATTACACTGAAAATACAGTGGCACAATCACATGCTTTGCTATTTCAGTGTGCTATCATCATTTGCGCCACAGCATTACCAAGAGTGTGCAACTCCAGCTATGGGGTCAGTGCCGACGGCAGACCTTCACATGTGACAAATCCGTGCACATCATTTGCACCCTGTGCATGATAGATGCAGGAATATACGCAGCCCTGCTCTGCGTTCAGTTCCCTTGTTGTCACTTTGCACTGTTTGGCAGCGTACCCTTTCGAACCATGTCACGTGATGTGACGTTCAGCCGCCGCCGCAGCACTGTGTAGAGGTACAGGAAGTTGCACACATGGTGTTACCATGGTTACATGTATCAATGCCTGCAGTACCGTACATGGTGTTACATGTATCAATGCCTGCAGTACCGTATACACACATGGTGTTACATGTATCAATGCCTGCAGTACCGTATACACACATGGTGTTACATGTATCAATGCCTGCAGTACCGTACATGGTGTTACATGTATCAATGCCTGCAGTACCGTACGCGTACTGCATGATCTTGCACATATTCTCTGTTTGTTCGCACCTATGCTACCTCAAAGCGAGACTGTACCATTTGTTTACCATAATTCTCTGTACGACCGGAGAGAGTATGTGGTCGGGAGTTTGGACTAAACGACACCGCCAATACCTAAAATGAGTGAAAATAATGCACAAGACAGAAAAGGCAGGGTAGTTTCTGCCTGCAGCCATAATACTATTTTGAGCATACCGACTGGAGGCTAGGACATCCTTGTAGACTTGCGGGTAGGACCCGGCAATATGCTTGGAGAAGGCTGACGATAGGTACGGTGCGGCATGACTGAATGATGAGGCAGTTACTGGCGGTCTAACGGTCAGAACATTCTTGTGACCGCTGTTTAGATGAAGCATCTTGTCAGTGAATTTTGCCTAGTTCACAGAGCAATCACAAAAGAAATAGGGGTTAGGCAACAGAAAATGATGAAGTGGTTGAACAAGTCTATCTCCTGAACATTCTACTTCAGGGCTGGACGGAGGGTGTCAATAATTTGAGGGATAAAGGTGTGAGTTCTGGTAGATACACAATTTCTTGTAACCCTCACTGATAGGGAAAGTCCCTCACTGATAGGGAAAGTCCCTCACTGATAGGGAAAGTCCCTCACTGATAGGGAAAGTCCCTAACTGATAGGGAAAGTGACTAATAGGGAAAGTGACTACATGTAATAGGACGGGTACCAGTACGTCTTTTCCATACTCTACAGCTACATTGGGCACAGAAGCCGGGTTGGTCTGATGCATACACAGTGTATCAAGGTATCAAAGTTCATGCTCCAGTGTGGGCCGGCCAAAATAAAGACAGAGAGACAGACTAAAAGAAGGAGAAGGCGTGTGTGTGTGTGTGTGTGTGTGTGTGTGTCTTGATCTGTTTAATTCAGATCTTGTCCGCTACCGTTGCTATAAAAAAGAGAAAAATCTGTGCGTGTACATCCAGTGCATTTGCAGATTT